TGCTACCAGTGCCACTGGCTGCCAGGCATGTGTCTTCCAGACAGTGACGGTGACTGGGACCGCTCAAGTTCACCTCCCATTTCTGTCCCTGCAACCACTCACTACCCTAGACTGGTATCATCAGAAAAAACACTGACAAAGATAACGAACCCTCAGCATCACTCAGAATACGGCTCAAGGTGCCAGTGTCCTACCAGGCAAAGTTAATCTTGGAGGGAGCTACTGATGACAGGTAAGTCACTATCAACTGGACAGATTTACACACAGGACTGCACTGCAAAGCACTGCTCATAAAACACCACCATCTAACGGAAGCAGTCCACGTCTTCGCCACGTTTACTACCATAAATGTATTCATTGTAAACTTTCGGCTATCACATTGCCTCCAGCCTGTAAATTACAACAGGATTCTTATATGTACCTCCTGAAATTGGTAATTCTGTGCAAGCGCATACCGCAACTCAGATTACAATGAACGCATCTGTTAATTTACCTAATCAGCAGTTATATTAACTACCTACAAATCAGGGAATAAGAACTGTCAGATGACTATCTTATGAGCAAAAAAAATGGTAACTCTGATGCTTTTTTGATGGCACGTCTCATTATAAATAGGTTACCACGATATAATTTCGGCAGAAACAACAGTAATGTATATGGCCATTACTGTGTTACAGATTGATAATACACTAGATTAAACAGCTAAAGGATGCCTGTTTGAAATATTTTTGCAGAGGTAATGTTAACAGGCAATACCATAATTCATCCTTTCATCTTGCTTAGTATGGTAAACATGGTAACAGTCACTAATTTATTACAAATGATGTTTGTAATCACAGTTCTGCTTGTATTTTACATAAGATTTTACTGGAACTATCACCGCATTTAGACACACTCAGAAAACTTAGATATCAGACTGTTACAATTTTTGTTCTCATAATGATAAGTTTCTGATTTGCATCTCAGTCTAAAACTGGTCTTGTCTGCAATATCCCTACAGCTATCAGGAAGCTCCAGCACAAGAGCCAGAAATCTGCAATGAAGGAGACAAGAAGCTTAAATTGCTCGAGTCCGGTGCTGTCTGCATTCTACTTTTTCACTGTCAATTCATATATCAACTTTTCAACTGAAACGGATTACATTTAACACCAACCACCTTAGCAAAGTCCACGTGGTGTGAATTTACAATCCGGTTAAGAAGGAAAGAAATACATCTTACGTGGTCTGACAGTAGAGCATACCAAAAGAAATATTCTACTGAGACGCTCAATGAATCTAGCCAGTATCGATCCACCTCGTGACCTCAGGTGAGCCATGGAGACTGCACGTCTCCAAAGCAGAGGAGTAGTTTCTCATTACTACATTGGTGGGTTTGTTGTTGTTTTCCTGTACATAAATCAATAAATTATTCTCTAAGAATATTTGCTGCTCTGTGTCACAGCACTTCTGTATTCTTGTGATAGGGAGCTACAGCTCTGAGATGGACTATGGTCTTGTTAATGGGGGGGAGATATGGTCAAAGCCCCCATATGAATCACAGTTAAGAAGTGGCAGGAGCTGGAGAAATAAGACATGACATGTTCCACTGCTGCAGCTTCTCCTTGCTTTTGGAAAGTAACTACTTTTTTCATAACCATGTTGTCAGGGTATTTCCAAGACTGGTTTTTAAAGCAGAGTCTCATTACTTTAGTCTGGTCTTTAATATGTGTCTATTTACTTTAGCAATGGCTTTTGAAGCAGCCTTCAAAGACACTTGGTTAAAACAGGCTCTCCATCCACTAATTAAACCTTAACAATCCCTTGTAATGAGCAACACATTTTTTTCCCAAAAAATGTAAATGTCTAAGGTGGCTGCTCATGTCAGCACTGAAGGAAGAGGTCATTTCTGAAGGATCCTCCATCACAAACATCAGAGAACAGTAAAGTCGCCGAAGGGCATCCGAAGCAGAAGCAATTTTCTCACAGTCTTGACACCTTCTAGTAAATTAGTCACTTGTCGAGGAAAATGACAGCTATACAGCTATAGAAAAGCTTGTAAAGCTCTTCATTTACTGTTAGAAATGTTGTCTATGTCACTGTCAAGCAACAGTAACATCCCCACCCTGTTTCACTCGAGTGCCTTATCTTGGGGACTTTTTGCAAATCATGCCTTAATGAAGTCTAAATAACAACTATATTTCTTAGTTCTAAACGCTACTTTTCTCTTACCTGCATGATTGTTTTCTGAATAAGCTAGTCCACTGAAGCTGCTGTACTAAATAAAAGACTGTTGTAATTAGAGTAGTACCATTCCAAGATAAAGCCACGAAAACTGAAGCTTCAGACAGCTGTCATCTCTTTGGCTACTCTGCTTATTATTCACAGACAAATTCTGATATCTTCTGCATGTTACATAGTACGGTCATGTGCAATTTTAGTGAAAACACTCATGGAACAAGATCTGTAAGTATCTGCTTGGAATCTATCCTGTAGAAAGAATGGAGTTTGAAAGTCATTTTGGACTTAACTGTCCCTCAGCACAGTCATTGTTCCATTGTTCTAAATAGGTACACATAAATGTACACTTTCTTTCTTTAGAAATAATGTTATGAATTCAATGTCCTTGTATAATTGGCTAGATACAACAGTCAATGAAAACTGAAATCCTCTTGTTTACACAACAGTCAGGATACGGACAGCAAAAGAAAACAATTCTAAAAATGGATGCTCTAAGGAACAGCAAAACTGATTATCTTGAGTGGTAAAAGGGTAATTGCTGTTGCATGGTAAAAAAGAAATTGGGCAAATTCATATAAATAGTCTTTGGAGAACAAGCATTTACTGGTTAAAGACACTGACACATTATGCAAGCCAATTACTGTCTGGAATGGTGGTGGTACCTTGAATGCAAACTCATTGGTAGGATACTTGAATATTGCAGGAAAGCATCAATCTATAACACCTGATATTCTTCCACTGATGGCACAGATTCCCCCGAAAAGACCCACAAAATTGTACAGCATGATTTACAAAGGAAGGGACCTCTGAAGATCCAGTGTCTGCCCTAAGCAGGACTGACCTCAAAGTTAGAAAAGGCTGCTCAAGACCTTATTCAATCAAGTTTTCAGTACCTCCAAGGAATCTACAGTCTCTCTGGGCAATTTGGGATTCTCCCTCACTACAGACTATAACTGTTATCTTTTGTTATTTCACTGTGCACCTCTGGGAAGAGTGTGGCTCCATCTTCCCTATGAACCCCACTCCCATTAGACACTTCTCCAGGCTGAGCAAACCCAAATCCCCAGCCTCACCTCACATGTTCCTTAATATGTTACATAAATATCTCAAAAGACCCCTTTCATGGTGAAGAATGAGAGGATCAGAAGTCCTCCAGTGCCGAGGTCTACAAGCTGAGGAGACCCAGCAAGGCATGTAAGCAAACCACATCCTTGGCTGAGCAGCTACTCCCTGACAATATGGTGCCACTGCACCTCTTCACACATGCTAGCCACTCTTCAAGAGTTCATGCAGCATCAAGGTGAGGTATTAACAGCAGCTTTATGAGTTTCCCTTACTAAACACTTCCAAAGATAAGATACAGAATCGCTGAAAATCTAGCAGCTTGTTTTTCTGAAGCAACAAGGTCAGAGTTAGCAGCTTGATTTCAGCTGCCTTCTCCATGGAGACCACTCCTCTTGCTGGTAGGCAACACCTTGAAAATCTTCCTCCAAGGGTTTAATCTGAGAACTCGTTTTCCTAAAAACCTACTCATCCTCAATAATACCTCGCAGATTGGTTCTAGCACAACACACATTATAAAAAACAAGCAAGCTACAAAAACCACAGTTAATTACAAAAAGCGACTGTGGCACTGAAACGAATTTTGCTTAAACCCACCAGGCTTCCTGAAATTCCTTTTCCATGAATACCCTAGAAGAGCACATAGCCTATGTAATTGTTGGTGGACTGTCCACAGAGTCAAAATAAGCATGATACTCTTCTATTATACTTCAAATTCTGTCGGAATAAAATTAATACAAAGTTCATGTACCTACTGGAACATAAAGATTACCTTCCCCTCACATAGAGATTGAGGAATACATTTCAGGATATCTCAATTTAGAGAATTCTCTTTGAAAACCTTGTGGAAAGGCTTGTGGTCAAAACCTAGTTAAAGATATTTACTCCTTTGAGCTTTAGTTTAAAACACGTTTCTTCTTTCAGATACAGCCCACATACTGTCACAGCTTTTCTTTCTTTTCCTTTGTTTCCAGATTATATAGGAAATTCACTTCGTCTTTAAAGAATAGATTCTACCCTTGTGAAGGAGGACATTATTATGTCATTTCTTCAATTAGCATATCTGTATAGTAATTTTTTTTTTCCAAGAAGAATAACCTTTTGTTAAAGGTTTCGTTGGATTTCGCAGGAGACTGATAACAGCCAAATCTCCGGCCATCTGCAGGAACCGCTACAGACTGATCGCACTCTCCAACCAGTGAAATTCTTCTCACTGCTCCTGCTCAGACAATGGGATCGTTGTATTTTCCAAGTGCTTAATCACACCAAGGGCAGGAGCACAAAGCCTTCACCCACTCTGAATTTCTCTAATAGTCTTAATGAAAATCAGGCCTTAGGCAAATAATTAGTAAAATTTAAAATAATGAGGACATTATCCTCTCTAATTTTAGCACCAAGAACGGATTACTTCATAGAGGTCTATAGACAGATACTTCTTCTAAAGCCCATGAGCTTCATCTTTTGGCAGAGGAGCAGGTTACTGTAAAGATATCTCAATGCTGAGCATACATACCCTCCTATACTCCAAGCATACTCTCATGTTACTGGCAATTTAATGTCCAGCACAGCAGCAAAACTCTACAACGGCTCCACTTCCCTAAACACTTTAAGTGCTTCAGTCACTTATTTTCCAAATAAGCTACTGTAAAAGAGTAAAGACCCTACTGAAATGCCACGCTCCAACACGTTAAGTATTTGGAGGCTGGGTGGAGACAGCTTACCCCTTGACTGCAGACCGTGTCCACACGCCTCGCTGTGTCCCGGCACAGCCTGCCTGACCGAATCCGGCACCAGCACACAGGGACTCCAGCGGTGGGTCTTCCACCTGTGAGAGGGAACCGGTAACAATCCAGCAGTTAAAACTGGAAAACAGTTAACAGGTTCAGGAAAAGCTTCACTTACAAACGATGATATACTGTGGAGACTTTAGGAAAAATAGAGTCAAAAGGCTGCAATTACTCCTGGAATAAGCATTGTGAACTGAAATACAGATGCAAAGTTCACCTTCTAGAAAGCCACATCATCCTCCAGCCATGTTTTCCTTTCTCATTTTCGTAGGGCACGGTTCATGTTCACACAAAATACACAGGAAACATCTTCAGCAGGCTTTGAAATCAGGCTCTCCACCTGCAAGCCCGCTCTCATACCAGTAATGCTGCACCCAATCTGCTTTCTGTGCTAGGGTGCGTGCCAGTCAACGACACAAGGAAGCAGCCATGTGGTACGGAGCCCGGCAGAGCCGAGTGGTGCGACTCCGACTTTGGCACCATGCTCAGCTCCCCGCTCTGCTCTGAGACCACGTCCTACAGGACGTGCGGGCTGGAGATTTGCATGCAAATATATAATGCTTTTCTATTTACTAATATTGTATGACAGATGGGTCATAGAATTTTAATGAAGA